TTATTGAATTTTGAAGTCAAAGGAACTGGAAGTCAAATCCAAACCACCCATCCAAATCAAGCCGCTTGAGGGTTACCTGATTGATGGTGGCCATGGTCTGGTCACGACATGACAAGCAACGGCGCATGGTTGCGGGTTGAGTAAAAGATCCGTCACTTGAGTGGCAGCCTGAAGATCTGTCAAACATCCTCCACGTCTGACAAGACCCAAACTGTCCGCTGGAATGCCCCTTCACCACCATTCGCAATGACCACTGACAGCATATTAGCCCAGATCAACGCCCAGATCAACGACCATAAGCCAAAATGGCAAATGTCCTGAGACATCATGAGCCCAAGGCTGTTCGAGACAGAACTCCAAGCAAGGGTTTGCTCCTGCCTTGACATAGCCTGGGGTGCAGCTCCTGCTGCAATCCTGTCTATGCCATAGATTCCATAGTTTCTTTGCAAGGTTTCAGCGCTCATCGACTGGGAAACAACCAACCTATAGCTCGCACCCGCAGGCGGAGGATAGGTTGGGGATACACGTACGTACTGCTGACTGCCGCCTCGCAAAAACCTGACTGTTGCCGAGGGTCAGTTTGGTTGAACAACAGGTAGGGCTCAAGGCACATCTGACTCAAACTAATTGATCCATAGCTAATAGTTTCCCGTTGGCTTTCCTTTAAACAAGCCCAGAAAAGGAGAAGACCCTTGTGCTGATAGTTCTGCAAGAGCTACAGGGGGGAGGGTATGTTGGACACTTAGGGTTTACTTCGCAACCATTTCACCACTGAAGTGTCCTTGGAGTTGTGGTCGCCTTCACACAATTCTCCAAGTTCGCCAAACACCCAGAAAAACACCCCGCGCTTTGCCTAACATCCCAAAAACTGGAGCCCGTTTCTTGACTAACACATGTTTGGGTCCCCTCAACCGCCCAAGGAGCCAACCCACAGCTCAATGTGGTTGGAGAGGCTCGCTCCCAAAACCCGAAGAAAAGGAATTCACTCCTTAGCAACCCAAGCCTCAAAGCTCCAAAGGGAAGCTGAACACTCTTGTTGACCCCTTTTGGCTGTCCCTGGGTTGTTTTGTGGGGAATCATTCTATTCATAACTGAAGTGGATTGATATGGGGTCAACACTGGCGGCTTTAAATATATTCAAAGAAACTTAAGCTATGTGCCCTCACGGATGTCATTACTGTGGTTTTGAGGGAAGCCAAAATGGCTTGAAAGCACTTTTCCACACCCAGGCCCAGCAACAAGAAAAACACCTGAACAGAACCAACAAAACAAACATCTGGGATCAAACATACGAGCCTTCTTTTAACCCCAGTGCCCTCTTGTGCTCAATTTCAATGAAACCCGAATTTGGCCCGCCCAAACCCACGCAACTGCCCGTCCTTCCACGCTTCATGCAGGAGTCAGCAGCGCCCAAAACCCATTGACCCTTGGTTCTACCAACATGGCTTAGGTTCATATAGCCAAGAACCTTCATAAACACCAGATAGTAGAACAGACCCCCGACCGAAATGGCCGAAAAAGGGACTCGGATTTGGGCGCTGCGGGCGTTCAACAGTTCGCGCCTGCCCCGGGTGAAGTGTCAGCTCGAAAGACACCTGGCGTAGCTCGATGCCAAACGACTTGGCAAGCTGGAGCGTTCCACCATCCACTGGTCCCCCAGCCAAAGTCGAATGTATGGCAAAATAGGAACTCGGACCTCCAACATGACTTCGGTTTTGTTTTGGTTGCCCTTTCGACACACGAACCCCTGAAAAAGGTACACACCCATTGAATTATGGTGTTCCGGGAATTGTCACAAACACCTGGTTTGAACATGGCATGCTCAATTTGAGGTTCGGACCCCCTTACCAACCTGCATCTACCCACTTGACCTTATCCTAAAGTGTCCTAAAGGACGCAAAAAACACATTGGACCAAGCCCTGTCTTTGCGATTTAGAGCTCGTCCCATGTCGTTCCGAAATCGGCTGTAAATAAACGGGGGTCGTTTTTGGAGGGAACTTGTTTGGGTTGTTTGTGAAGGGAGACCAAAAGGAACACGGTTCCTCTGAGACAAACCCAAAACAGGAAATTCGGACCAAACTGTTCACGTCGAATTCGTAGTTGCCACGTTCCGCTTTGCATGAACTCCGTGTAACGCATGATTGGCTTCTCCCAAATGCCAACTGGCAAACAACATGGAGCTATCTTGGAACCCCCTCTTCAGAGTCAGAATGTAAAGATTTCACTGTCAACAAAATCAGATGCTCAGACGCTAATCATTCGCCTACCCTCAAATGTAACATATGGTGGTGTCGTTTTTGAGGGTTGTCGTTCTTTGATTTCTTTGATGTTCTTTGTGGTTGTTTATATGGAAACCAACAGGAAAACCCACCATGTGATCGAAATATCTGTGTCCGCTTGATCCATGTTTTGGTTTCTATAATCTTCTTGTAGTCCGTGCCGCAAACTTCAGGTCAAAGCCGCATGTTGGATTGTAGCATGGAAAGTCTGTCTGCAACCCATCATGAGCCATCCGCGAGCCGCATAATCTAATCTGTAGACCGCACAATCCGCTACAGCAGGAGAGTTTCCGCAGGGATGAACCAAAGCAGCCAAAGAATGAAACCAATAGCGAAAGTAGAGCCCTGGTTGAAGCTGGGCTGTCCGTTGGCTGTCCTTCAACCGTCACCGCCCCCGTCGCGGGAAATCGTCTCCGACTCTTCCTTGCGCGGAAAGCCGCAGGTCCTCGGCCGAGTGGAAGCACTGCGCGTGAAAGCCTCCACGGCGTAAGGCATGCCCTAGCGGGAAGATGCCCACTGGCAGCATCCATGGGAAGGCGCTTCGCCTCTCCGGAAAAGGCGACTCGCGACTGTGGATGACCCCGTCGCAGTTTGGCGGCCGACGAGCTTGTGCTGAAATGGGCTACGAGCGTGGCACCACTCTGTGCCACATTTCCCCTGCTTGAGAAGCTGTCTCACTACCATTTGGTGTTGCCAAGAACAGGAATTGGCAAATTTCACCCTTCAAAAAAGTACCGGGTACATGCACGACCGTGGGTGTTTCTTCCATTTGGGCTGACCCTAAACTCTCTTCTTTTCTTGGGCGTGGGGTGGCGGGGGGGGGCGGGGGGGATGATAAATAACGTCATGACCTGCCCCGTGTCGGATGCAAGCCCAAAGATACTCTTCTGCAGACTGTCAAAAGGATGTGACCTACAAACGCACCAGGGGCCCAGCTCGCGTTGCATGCTCTGCGCTTCAGCGCTTTTTGCTGCGTTCCCTAGGGGGTGGGGGGCGTTTTTCCCCGGCGCGCGGTTGACCCCCAACTTAGCACAATATGAGTCATTATGAGTCATAATGAGTGTGTGCTTGTTGGATGGCATCTTTTTGGGATAGTTTCAAAAGAGAAGCCAAAAGAAAACCAACCATTTGGGGGTCCCCCCAAGTTAACACAACCCCATACCCAGACTTACCTAGCGCATCCAATGTACATACATATATATATATATATATGTTTTCTACTTTTCTGCGGGGGGGATGAAGCGGCCCGCAGAAGGCAGCCAAACGGCCCGACAATTTATGAGTCGACGCAACCATGGTCAAGCTACCAAAGGTAGCGGACCCTTAACGATGAGCTCGAAGAACGCCTGTGACTATGACGCGCTGCGGGTTATTGTTCAAACAAACTATCAGCTGATCTTGATTTCATGCGCCCCGCAGAAATTCCGAGGCCCTCTTGGTCAGGAAAGCTCGTGGGCATTGAAACCCATGAAAATTCTGTCCAAAACCCTTGGGAGATGATACCCGAAAACAGTAGCCCAAGGTGGTAAAGGCTCAGAAAAAGCGCCCTGCAAGAACCAGGCAGGACCTGAACCTGCTCAAATGGAGTCTTGGCAGAAAATTGGAGAACCGACTTCCTTTCGTCATTCAGAGCTATGCGCAGCGCCTCTGCGTTGGTGGAATCCAGGAAACTGCTCTCCAGGAAGTGGTTGGAGAGCACCAGAAGGCCTCAGCCAACAATAGGGAAGTGAGTCACTTGCTCAAAACCCGGTACTACCATGGTCGTAAGCCCAGAACCATGCCTCAGGAAGTTAGAAGGCGGATATCCGCAGCTGTCCCTTACCCACCTTCATCTACCCGGGTTTTCATTGTGGCTCAAGTGGGGCGCGTAGATCCACGAAAGCTTTAGTAGCCAGGGAACTCCACGAGGAAATTCTCAGATGCCCAGTGGATTTCCATGGGGAAAAAAGGGCACCTGTTCTTGTTGGTTGACTTTAAAGGGGAACTCTTCCCAAGACAAAGCTGAAACAAGTCGGCACTGGGCAACTGGGAATTGGACGGGCTCGGAATTGGGAGCTTGGGCCTTCCGTGTCCCCTTCTTGGGACCGGAAGCTTTGCAACGAGGGAGAAACCAAAATGACGCTAGGCACCCAGGGAACTGGGTGAGATGAATGGTTAATCATAGCTACAGGGTGAAAGAGTTAACTGAATGTTGACACATTTGGGACGACTACAAACTGAGCAGTGCCCATAATCCATTCACTTTGGGTTCTACAAACACGGGTAGAGGGGGTATACTTATCAGGCGACATCCCGTATAAAAGCGACCTGGTGTTGTGAGCACTGCTCAACAACCCCCTTCCAGCTCTCAGCGGACTGGCCTAAACCATCTTTGCCCACTAAGGGCGATATGTTTGAAACATTTTAGAACTGGGGGAGCCTCAGTGATGTACAACCTCCGCATGGTCTGTACTTCTAATGGGAGAAGCCCCTCTTTAAAATATCCTGGCATTAGTTAAGACCTCCAAGGTCTTTGGGTTAAAACCCCGAAATATTTGGTTAAGACCCCCCGGGGTTTTTGGGGTCAAAACTCAGCTTCAAACTTTTAGTGGTCTAATACGCAAGACCCATGAGTTGGCAAACAAACACTCAGTCCTAACATCCCTTGGCAAAATGCATCAAAGAACACCTGGGATACCCCCGGGATTTGGTGAAGACCCCCCCAACGATGTTTCTGGGGGTCACACCTCGGGATGGACCAAAACACCTCCGAAGCCCGCGCTGGGCCCTCGGGCCGCGCACCGGGGTCGCATCGAAGTCCTGAGCTTCAGCGAAGCTTCTTGGGGCGTGCCAGACTTCCGGGGGAAGAAGACCTGCGAGGTGGTAGTCGTTTCGTCTGAGAGGGGTGGAACACCCTCTCAACTGGAGCTTTGGTTTTTTTGGGGGGAAGCAAGCAAATTGGGTCCTGGGTATATGGGTTCCTGAGTCGATTCGCGAAAAACAAGCGGCGCAAGGCTCCAAATCGATTTGGGTCCTCAGAAAGGGTTTTTTTCTTAGTCGAGATTCTTCATTGGTGCGGGTTCTGCATTGGAGGGGTCATAAGCCTTAGCTGGGTCCTCCAGTAGAGAGGTTGGAATAAGGGTAGTCTATTTTAGTAGGGCAACCCTCGCCCCAAAAAGGGTAAAAGGGCACTACTGGGGGACGTAGTTAAGTGGACTGCTTGCTTGCCGCTAAAATAACTTTGACCCCAAACGTATATCGAGTCCAGGGACGGACGCGAGACTCCCAGGAGGTGACCCGCTGCCCGACAGGAACCAGAAAAAGGACGGAAGTGTTGGAGCCTCTGAAAATTGGGACGACCAAAAGCCCCCTCACCACAAAAAGTGTGTAGAACCGAAAAGGGGGTTGTTGAAAACCGAAAGGATTCGGATTCCATGACTGAACCTTGGTAAGGGAAAAGGTAACCCTAACGTCTTTGCTGAAGTAAGGGCCTGGGAAATCAGAATCGGGGACCAAACAGTCAAAGCGAATCATTCTGTTGAATTGGAGAAACACACCCATTGGGATGTGGGGTGGGGCAAAGGGGGATGTATTGAACCTGTCCACTCTAGACGCCACTGGGCCTCTGCCCTCGCGTCTGTTTTTGCTGCATTACCAGCTCATATATCTTTCACCCTCTCAAACGCCATCCCCTTTTGGCCTCCTATTGGCCATTTGCGTGTGCCTATTTCGGGAAAGTGGGTTCCATTTACCCTCTACAAGAATCAAATCCCCAAACCAAGCCGGATCACCAATTGAGGGGCACATGACATGTGAGTCCGAACATAAGAAGAAGACACACCCATTTGCCGCAACTTCGGCTGGGATCGGCTTCCTTTCTTCTTGATCCCGTAGCCAACAACTCGTCGGCTGTATCTTACAAATCGCTCCAAACCCCAAGTCAACAAGAACATCTCAGAACAACTCCGAGCTGCAAGCCTTAAAAGGCTACTGCCTGCAAGGCCATGCTCCCATCCAAGGCTCCGAGATCTCATCGCGGCCGTGGGCGGCCCAATCAAGCCTCGAGTCGGGCTGGAATCGGCGGGCTCGAAATCAGATAGTCCGCAAAGGAACCGTCAGTCTAAATCCTGGGGTCAAGAAAATTGGACTAGTATCCAGACAAGCTCTTCAAGAGATAGTTGTGTTGTTCTTTTTGTTTGTCTCCTAATAGGCTATCTAATGGGTTTGTCTCCCCATAGTTCAGTAGATCTTCTCCCATATGTTTCAGGGTCAGACTAAATATGGGAATTTGTCTCCGAATAGGAATTGGAGCCCTAAAAACTAGATGGGAACCAGGAATAGAGATGACAGAATAATTACCACTGTCTAAACTCATTTGAGGGGATTGGGCAAAAAATGAAAGGTTCATTTTTGAAGCCTTGACTAAACATGGGAACCCCAAATCGAAAACAGCAAAATGGTCAAAAGATCGGTTTTTGTGCAAGTGAGAGGGGTAGCCTCAAAAAAGACAGACGCATGTGTTCTCTGATTGTTTTCGAAGAAGCCATACTGTGGATGGACGAAATCCTGCACCACCTAAGAAGCCCCGGAATGATGAATCTCCTGTAAATACCAATAAACAATGGCTTCCCATGGTTTCCAAGTGGTGCGATCGGATTTCGCCCATCCACAGTAGTTGGACCACTAACGTTTTGGCACAGCCACCGCCCTGAGCAGGGAACTCTTCAGTTTGAGTAGGAATCCTTCCTCGTTCGCTTGAATCTAGACCCCCCAGTGGCCATGAACAAAGGCACCTCTTTTTGGTAGTGTCTTTTCCATGGGCTTCCCCCCTCCCAAAAAAAGGAACAACGGAATGTGTCTGGGCCAACATGCCCAGAGCTAGAGAGTAGACTAAAACACCCAAACACACACACACAGGCGAAAATGCCCACACTGCAGATTCACTTTGGGTTGGGACCATGCTCCAACACATCCGCGCCATTTATTTTGCTTCAACGGACCTCAAATTCACGCCAGCGAGCTCCAAAGCAACGCGGAACATGCCGCCGTGTTTTGTTTCCACCGGACCCCGGCAATCCAAACAAATGCGACGCCCAGAAAAAGGTCCTGCATTTGCCCCCTCCCTCTGAAAGTTGACACGAGCTTCCCAATTTTCTTGGCGCTGGGGTCCCATTTTTGGTCAGCCATCGTTTTGTGTTGGCCAACTGTGGTGTCAATACTTCCGGAGTGCATTTGCAGGAAAAGTCCAAACTGTTGTTCGAAACTTAAATGGCCCAAACCCCAAAGGTGGCTGAAGTGCAATATCTCAGGCAGAAGAAAACAGCTGGAGGCTCTAGCCACTGCACGATCTCCTGGAAGCTCGTCGGCAAGGGCAGGCCTGAGACTTGGGTCGAATCCGACCTTCGCACGAGCTCGCCACTAAAAAGAGAACCTCACTGGCTAAGTGGATGGCCCAAAAAAAGCTCAAACTTTATAATTACCACTAAAATGGTCTTCCCAAAAAGTTTAAAGTTCATGAACTCAGGAAGTGAGGAACCGGAAGAGCAACAGGCTGCCAGGGAAGTAAACCATAGCTGAACCCTTGAAGAGCTAACGAAAGATTAGCCACAACACAGCGATTGCACACGGAAACAAACATAGAAGCACCATTGGACACACAAGAGCGCGCCAGAACATAACTACCAAAATAAAAACACCATTGGACATACTCAACTGATCGCATGCACATATTCTGCATCAAAGAAGGAAAGTGAAGCATGACCAGCCAACAGTACTCTTGCCAGCCAGGACAATCGCTCTCTGTAGCAATCCGCACATCCAACCCCCACCACTTCTCAAAGTCCATTGCAAACTGGCAACTGCCAACCTGACTATCAGAACCCAAGTGAAATCATCCGAGGCGTGATAAATCTAAAGCGGCATTACTCTCGCCTTCCCACTGATGATTCACTAAAGGCAGTTTGGCTAGTGTACAGCGTATCCTGTATCCTTTAAATCGATCGCGGCGACGATCTCAAGCTCATGACCCCCTCCCATGCAGACCCCGGACCCTCCAATGGAGAACCTCAATTTCGCTTTTGGAGGACCAAAAGCTAATCGGTAGCTTCCATTTGCTTAAGCCCCCTGGAAAAAAGCACCAAACAAAACACTGTTTCCAGTAGTGATCGAGTCCTTTTAAACACCAACAGCGGAAATGAAAGAAAACCAAACATGCTTAAGCAAATGGATGTTATATATTGAAACTTCCACTGTTTGGACAAAGAAATAGTTATTCTTAGACAAATGGAAGGCAGCGGTTTTGCCATGGGACATACACCGTGCGCTTTGTGGCTGTCGCCAGCTGGCCTAGCTCTTTGCTTATGTGACATTGAGGAACCAACCAAATAGCAGCTCAGTGTATCTATATTAGGTGCGTCTTCAAATAGACGTACCGACAACACGGTGAGTTTCCTCTTGGTTTCCCTTCCAAAACCACTCCAACAGGGGTACCCACAAATAAGGACACGGCATATGTAGGTTGTGAACGTAGTTGTGATGTGAAAACGGATGGTTGCAGCAAGGAACCACACCCGGAAAGCTTTGAGAGAAGCCCTTCGGCCTACTTGGGACTCCCCCCCAACCCCATTTCTACATTTTGGGAAGGCCGCAGACGGCGCAACCCCCCTGCAACAAAATGAAAAACTGAAGTCCCACTGGGTCTGGGGCGGATTAGGAAACAAACGACGCAGCTTGCCAAAACTGCCACAGGCATGCCCGAGTCCGTTCCGCATTCGGGCCCGGGCTCACGCTCGAATTGTCAACCTGGCGATTAGCGGCTTCGAGTGGCCAGCCCATACGAATCAGCACGCCAGTCCATCCACGCGTCAACTTTTGCGCCAGCAAAACACATATGGAACTGTCTTTCTTGAGGGTACTCTTCAGCGGGTTGTTTAAAGAGACACCAAAAAGGACACCAACAATTGTCGGGATCTCCACATCTTGAGACACGTGCATGACCCATATATGTTTGATTCTGCCCCACAGTTAGTGACCCTTAGATTATGAAGTCATTTACATATGCCTGAGTCCTGCCTGAGTGGGTATCCAAGCGGACCACCCTAACAACTAACAACAATAATAATTGTTAATTGTTTACAACCCGCCTTGGCAATGTGTCCTCAGAGGCTCAATAAAAGTTCCTGATAAATACCCATTCTGTCAACAAGGCACATGCGTGTCAGCAAGACGAGCGCTATAAGCTTTGTTGCGCAGCCTCCTTTCAAAGCGAACATACAGACCTGAGACTCCCACTGATCGTGGAAGAGAAACGGGCACCTCAACTGCAGTTGGTTTCGTTTAACCCTCTGAAGAAAACAACGGACGCAATTCTGCCCGGGTCCGGCATACCAAGCACTCACCGCATGTTCAACCAAAACCACCCGCTTTGCAAGGTCCTATGAATCTTTCTTTTGGATTCCCTTTAAAACCCCGCCGAAAAAGGCTCCTCGTTTGGCTGAGGGATGCTGTTGTGGGCATCGAATATAGGGGACATGTCCACCGACCACTTTGGTGCCCAATCGAAACTCATAGCCATGGCCGGAAGGAAACCGATCGATCTGGTGGCAGTGCTGTCACTCCTTTGAGGCGAGGTGGAAACAAAAAACAAACAAAAAAAAACAAATAATAAAACAAAACCATAATAAATAATAACAATAACAAGAGCAATAATAGCAACACACAAATAACAAACAAATATATAACAGCAATAATAACAATAATAATAAACGAGGTGCACGGTGGCAGGCCTGGCCGGCGGCTGCTCGTGCCACGCTGGGACCCGCAGCAGCCTGGCGCTCAAGAATCCGACTTCTGCCGCGGGAGTTCCTGCATCTTCGGTTCCTGCGGGAGGGCGGCCTTTGGATCGGCCTTTGGATTCACCTTTGGAATTTGCAGGCATTTGTAGAACTACCATGGGGGGGTTCCCTAAGTCGACCATGTGGGGGGGGTTCCCTAAGAACTACCATGGGGGTTCCCTAAAGGGGGGTTCCTTAAGGCATTTGTAGAACTACCATGGGGGGGTTCCCTAAGTCGACCATGTGGGGGGGGTTCCCTAAGAACTACCATGGGGGTTCCCTAAAGGGGGGTTCTCTAAGGCATTTGTAGAACTACCATGGGGGGGTTCCCTAAGTCGACCATGTGGGGGGGGTTCCCTAAGAACTACCATGGGGGTTCCCTAAAGGGGGGTTCCCTAAGGCATTTGTAGAACTACCATGGGGGGGTTCTGTAAGTCGACCATGTGGGGGGGGTTCCCTAAGAACTACCATGGGGGTTCCCTAAAGGGGGGTATCCTGCGCTGACGACAGGATTGACTGGGGCAATCCTGCGCTCACAACAGGATTGGCTGAAAGGCAGCACCAGGCCCGCACCAGGCCCGCGCCAGGCCCGCACCAGGCCCGCACCAGGCCGCACCAGGCCCCGCACCAGGCCCGCCCGCACTACGCCCCAGGGCCGCACCAGGCCCACCAGGCCCGCACCAGGCATTTGTAGGGGTTCCCTAAGTGGGGGTTCCCTAAAAACTACCATGGGGGTTCCCTAAAGGGGGGTTCCCTAAGGCATTTGTAGAACTACCATGGGGGGGTTCCCTAAGTCGACCATGTGGGGGGGGGTTCCCTAAGAACTACCATGGGGGTTCCCTAAAGGGGGGTTCCCTAAGGCATTTGTAGAACTACCATGCAGGGTTTCCCTAAATCGACCATGTGGGGAGGGTTCCCTAAGAACTACCATGGGGGTTCCCTAAAGGGGGGTTCCCTAAGGCATTTGTAGAACTACCATGGGCATTTGTAGAACTACCATGGCTAATGTGGGGGGGGGTTCCCTAAAAACTACCATGGGGGTTCCCTAAAGGGGGGTTCCCTAAGGCATTTGTAGAACTACCATGGGGGGGTTCCCTAAGTCGACCATGTGGGGGGGGTTCCCTAAGAACTACCATGGGGGTTTTGTAAAGGGGGGTTCCCTAAAGGCATTTGTAGAACTACCATGGGGGGGTTCCCTAAGTCGACCATGTGGGGGGGGTTCCCTACCATGGGGTTCCCTAAAGGGGGGTTAAGAACTACCATGGGGGGTTCCCTAAAGGGGGGTTCCCTTAAGGCATTTGTAGAACTACCATGGGGGGGTTCCCTAAGTCGACCATGTGGGGGGGGTTCCCTAAGAACTACCATGGGGGTTCCCTAAAGGGGGGTTCCCTAAGGCATTTGTTAGAACTACCATGGGGGGGTTCCCTAAGTGAGGGGTAGAACTACCATGGGGTTCCCTAAGAACTACCATCTAAAGGGGGGTTCCCTAAGGCATTTGTAGAACTACCATGGGGGGGTTCCCTAAGTCGACCATGTGGGGGGGGTTCCCTAAGAACTACCATGGGGGTTCCCAAAGGGGGGTTCCCTAAGGCATTTGTAGAACTACCATGGGGGGGTTCCCTAAGTCGACCATGTGGGGGGGGTTCCCTAAGAACTACCATGGGGGTTCCCTAAAGGGGGGTTCCCTAAGGCATTTGTAGAACTACCATGGGGGGGTTCCCTAAGTCGACCATGTGGGGGGGGGGTTCCCTAAGAACTACCATGGGGGTTCCCTAAAGGGGGGTTCCCTAAGGCATTTGTAGAACTACCATGGGGGGATTCCCCAAGTCGACCATGTGGGGGGGGTTCCCTAAGAACTACCATGGGGTTCCCTAAAGGGCGGTTCCCTAAGGCATTTGTAGAACTACCATGGGGGGGTTTCCTAAGTCGACCATGTCAAGAAATGTTCCCTAAACACTACCATGGGGGTTACCTAAAGGGGGGTTCCCTAAGGCATTTGTAGAACTACCATGGGGGGGTTCCCTAAGTCGACCATGTGGGGGGGGTTCCCTAAGAACTACCATGGGGGTTCCCTAAAGGGGGGTTCCCTGGCATTTGTAGAACTACCATGGGGGGTCCCTAAGTCGACCATGTGGGGGGGTTCCCAAGAACTACCATGGGGGTTCCCTAAAGGGGGGTTCCCTAAGGCATTTGTAGAACTACCATGGGGGGGTTCCCTAAGTCGACCATGTGCCCTAAGAACTACCATGGGGGTTCCCTAAAGGGGGGTTCCCTAAGGCATTTGTAGAACTACCATGGGGGGGTTCCCTAAGTCGACCATGTGGGGGGGGTTCCCTAAGAACTACCATGGGGGTTCCCTAAAGGGGGGTTCCCTAAGGCATTTGTAGAACGACCATGGGGGGGTTCCCTAAGTCGACCATGTGGGGGGGGTTCCCTAAAAACTACCATGGGGGTTCCCTAAAAAGGGGTTCCCAAAGGCATTTGTAGAACTACCATGGGGGGGTTCCCTAAGTCGACCATGTGGGGGGGGTTCTCTAAGAACTACCATGGGGGTTCCCTAAAGGGGGGTTCCCTAAGGCATTTGTAGAACTACCATGGTGGGGTTCCCTAAGTCGACCATGTGGGGGGGGGTTCCCTAAGAACTACCATGAAGGTTCCCTAAAGGGGGGTTCCCTAGGCATTTGTAGAACTACCATGGGGGGGTTCCCTAAGTCGACCATGTGGGGGGGGTTCCCTAAGAACTACCATGGGGGTTCCCTAAAAAAAAATCCCTAAGGCATTTGTAGAACTACCATGGGGGGGTTCCCTAAGTCGACCATGTGGGGGGGGTTCCCTAAGAACTACCATGGGGGTTCCCTAAAGGGGGGTTCCCTAAGGCATTTGTAGAACTACCATGGGGGGGTTCCCTAAGTCGACCATGTGGGGGGGTTCCCTTCGGCATTTGTAGAACTACCATGGGGGGGTTCCCTAAGGGTTCCCTAAAGGGGGGTTCCCTAAGGCATTTGTAGAACTACCATGGGGGGGGTTCCCTAAGTCGACCATGTGGGGGGGGTTCCCTAAGAACTACCATGGGGGTTCCCTAAAGGGGGGTTCCCTAAGGCATTTGTAGAACTACCATGGGGGGGTTCCCTAAGTCGACCATGTGGGGGGGGTTCCCTAAGAACTACCATGGGGGTTCCCTAAAGGGGGGTTCCCTAAGGCATTTGTAGAACTACCATGGGGGGGTTCCCTAAGTCGACCATGTGGGGGGGGTTCCCTAAGAACTACCATGGGGGTTCCCTAAAGGGGGGTTCCCTAAGGCATTTGTAGAACTACCATGGGGGGGTTCCCTAAGTCGACCATGTGGGGGGGGTTTCCCTAAACTACCATGAATGGGGGGGGTTCCCTAAGAGGGGGGCCCTAAAGGGGGGCCTAAGGCATTTGTAGAACTACCATGGGGGGGTTCCCTAAGTCGACCATGTGGGGGGGGTTCCCTAAGAACTATGGGGGTTAAAGGGGGGTTCCCTAAGGCATTTGTAGAACTACCATGGGGGGTTCCTAAGTCGACCATGTGGGGGGGGTTCCCTAAGAACTACCATGGGGTTCCCTAAAGGGGGGTTCCCTAAGGCATTTGTAGAACTACCATGCGGGGGTTCCCTAACGACCATGTGGGGTTCCCTAAGAACTACCATGGGGGTTCCCTAAAGGGGGGTTCCCTAAGGCATTTGTAGAACTACCATGGGGGTTCCCTAAGTCGTGGGGTTCCTAAGAACTACCATGGGGTTCCCTAAAGGGGTTCTACCATTCCCTAAGTCGACCATGTGGGGGGGGTTCCCTAAGAACTACCAAAAGGGGGGTTCCCTAAGGCATTTGTAGAACTACCATGGGGGGGTTCCCTAAGTCGACCATGTGGGGGGGGTTCCCTAAGAACTACCATGGGGGTTCCCTAAAGGGGGGTTCCCTAAGGCATTTGTAGAACTACCATGGGGGGGTTCCCTAAGTCGACCATGTGGGGGGGGTTCCCTAAGAACTACCATGGGGGTTCCCTAAAGGGGGGTTCCCTAAGGCATTTGTAGAACTACCATGGGGGGGTTCCCTAAGTCGACCATGTGGGGGGGGTTCCCTAAGAACTACCATGGGGGTTCCCTAAAGGGGGGTTCCCTAAGGCATTTGTAGAACTACCATGGGGGGGTTCCCTAAGTCGACCATGTGGGGGGGGTTCCCTAAGAACTACCATGGGGGTTCCCTAAAGGGGGGTTCCCTAAGGCATTTGTAGAACTACCATGGGGGGGTTCCCTAAGAACTACCATGGGGGTTCCCTAAAGGGGGGTCCCCCAAGGCATTTGTAGAACTACCATGGGGGGGTTCCCTAAGTCGACCATGTGGGGGGGGTTCCCTAAGAACTACCATGGGGGTTCCCTAAAGGGGGGTTCCCTAAGGCATTTGTAGAACTACCATGCGGGGGGGGGGGAAGGATTTGCAGGCTTTTGGGTATGGCTCAAAAAGCCGGAATTCCAAAATGGGTTGCCCTGGTAAGCGGAAACATGGACCAAAACCTGCGTAACCCTAGCTCTTTAATTTTGAGCCACTGCCATTTGTAGAACGACCATGGGGGGGTTCCCTAAGTCGACCGTCCTTCCTTTAGATTCTTTGTGGGTTATTGGGTGCGACTGTTTTTTGAGGGTGCCCATTTCGGGTGGTTCTAAAAGGAAACCAAAAAACACAAATCAACCTCTTCTCGTTTGGGGGGGGCGGATCCCCTACTGCGCAAACATACTTTTTAAGGTACCTAGACGACTGGCCTAGTTGTTGGTGTTGGCGTAAAGGATCTCAAAAAGACTAAAGCTTTGCCTCGTAGGGGACACACCCAAAGCCAGAGCATCCTAGATTGAACCAAATCAATCAAGATTAAAATATTCAAGCGAGGAGAGAAAATGCACAAGTTCAATGGATTTTGTTCAAGAGAACGTTCAACTGAATGGTGACTTAAACTTCAAGCGAAACTGCAATTGAACATGAAATGGAACATTTGAGCGATTGAACGGTTTAGACCTGGGCTTCATGTCAAGACTACTCCCAATCCACTCAGGCAAAGAGGTTCATGTGTTCCACCTTTCGGACACGAAGTCCACAGGCACGAAGAAGCAGGAACGGGGGAAGGCTGGGGGAATAGGGGACTAGACAAATATTTGACTGCCAGCAAAGTTGCTTCCTGTCAGTGTGTCATCGTGCATTCCTTTACATCTCATTTCATCGTGCAGAATGGATTGCACGGCACTGCACGGCACCGGCCCACGGCACCACAAATCTCAGGTCGTATACTGGCCACTGAACTGACGCAAGAAGCATTGGATGCTTCGATTTACAGAAAACGCAGATCGAAATGGAACCCAACCAAAACGCTTTTCAAGTTATTTCCAGTGGGGCCTCCTTGGAGTTTCTTCCAATCTGAGTGCAGATCACAATGGGTCATGCCCAAAAAAGACCAGCGGGTTTGACCATGGCACATGCGGGTATTGACTCATCCCCCAAAAGGCAAAAGGTACTCCCCCCGAAGCCGGAAATGTATCGAAAGCAGCCATATTATGGGTGTGTTGCTTTGGGGGGTTTAAAGGGAAACCAACAGGAAGCTAATCAGTTGGTCTTGTGCTTTGAGACACACCCATATGGGTATGGGTCAAAATTAAACCACCAGGGGACCGCAGGTTTTGGTCTATGTTCGACTTACCAGGCTTCAATTTTGGGTGCCTATTTTTGACCCACACCCATATCAGCTCGAGCTTGCACGAAGGTCGTGACACTCGCCAGGCCTGGGCTGCCGTGACCAAAGGGCCCACTGGCCTGACGCCAGCCCGAAGTGCCGCGGAGTGAGTGGAAGTGACGCGGAAACTTGATTACCCTCCAACTAACATGGAGCTGCAAGGCCAACTAACCTGAGGAAGGGTACCGTCTTTCCTGGAAGGCTTTCCTGACCTACCCCTCCCAATTTTTGAGGAAAGTGGCCTTTCTACAGGGCTCTGTGCACTTCCATGGAATCGCTGGGAGCGTTCGGTCCTGAGAGTAGGATTGGAATGAGGGCAAACTGAGTCAGGAGCTGGGGGTGGAACCTGTACACCGCAGGCACAGAACTTCTTGTTTCAATGGGACTGAAAGGAAACGGCGAAGGATTGCTCAGTTGTTCAGTGACCCTGGAAACGAAGGTTTTTTTTGGGGGAAGACCAGTTTAGTGGGGCAGCCGCCAAAAAAAAAGGGGAAAAAGGGTGCCACTGAACAACTGAGATTGGGTTACTATCTAGTTTCGAGGTATACAGCCATGTGTACTGAGCTCTCCTGCCTTCGCTGTCACCTTTTACTTCAGGTTCATATATATATATATATATATATATATTAGAGATACCATGGTCATGGCTTATACTTTATACCCTTCTCATGCTTGTCTTAAGCGCCAATTCTGAGGTCCATGATCAACCCCAGGCCAAATTAGGACTTGAGTCACAATCAAAACCCGGTATTAAACTGGTCTACCCAGAACCACGCTTTAAGAATTTAGAAGGTGGCCGCAACTATTTCTGGCTGGGACTGCCCCTTACGGTTCATCTACCGGGGTTTTGATTGTGGCTTTTGAACTTTAAACGCATTCAGAGCGCCAACCGCCCAGGCTGTTGGGGATTTCGCCGCAAGTACCGTCTGGTGGTAGTTCTAGGAACACCTGCTAATGTTGACCCCGGATTGATAAACCCCTGTTTATTAATATGGGGGTGTTTCCCTCCAAAAATTATAATTCCGACTAAAACCGGGGACACCCCCATATTGAAAAACAGGGGTTTATTCATCCGGGGTCAACATTATAGAACATGATGGAACAACTCCTGATTTAAGAGGGGATATCGTCGCAAAGTAGCCGTTTGGCTCAAGCAGGCAGCGCGCCGCAAAAAGCCTGCTCAAAGGCTTCCTGGACCCTGTAGGATGGTTTTGGGCAGCGAGCGCCAACCACTCAGTTCCCCAAAGGATCCAAGCAAAAAGGTTAACATTTTGGCTCATGACGAAAACTCGGTTGCTTTCTGCTCCCCTGCTAAAAGTTTAACTTTTGGTGGTTTAATGTTCCAAAGTTAAAGTCCTAACATCCACGCAAAATGCACCAAAGAAAAATGGACCAAAATGCGAAAACCAGAAGGTCCAAAGGTCGCTTCGCTTTGGACACCCGAGACAACATCACTTCCGCCCTGCCCGCGCGAAAGAAATCTCCCGAGCACCTCGGCTGCGCAAAGGACCGCAGGGTCCAATAGATGCTGCCAGGAACCTACGCGACGAAACCAGGCAATCCCGCGAAAGAAGAACCAGACACATCCAGTTTCCACCGGCGGGCAACCAAAAATGCTTACCTCTAGATTCCCTAAAATGGTTGGTTTCCCTTTGGGTTCCATTTAAACCAAACACAAAATGGAGTCTCCTGGAAAACCACTCACGTTTAAGACAAGGTTTTCCATGGATGCGTGCTTCATCTGTTCTGTCAAAAAAACAGCGCTTTTTCCAGGGTTTTCGGTGGTGGAACAATGATCTCCGGCAGGACTGGGCAAGCTACCCCTGGATTAACACCACCTTGATGAATAGTGCGCTGCCCCATTTAAGGGGAACACCTTCACTTCTGAACGTCGCCCTATTAAACCGCCAGGTTGCTAAATCTTTGTCGCCTGCAGATTGACCGAGAATCCGATAAAAAGTGGTGCTGTTAAAGAAGACTTCTCTAAGAACCATGGTGTTTATCAAGGCAGTAGGCTTTGTCTCAAAACAAGATATCCGAAAAAAAATGGTGTTCTTGTGGCTTACCCAGTGACTTTGACTTTCTCCCCTGACGGACTATCTGCACCAAGAAAAGCTCCCGGAACTGGGACCCAAGACTCGGCGCGAGTCAAGGAAGGGGGTGGATCTGTCAACGCCGCGCCCGGTGGCAGGGCTGACGTCTTAGGGCGAGAGCTAGGAGCCAACCTTGGTTGACGTTGGAAGGGGAGCAAAACATAAAATGTTTCGCAACGAACACCATGCAACAATCTGGCGGAGCCAAAGGATGGTCGCGTTTTGCACTGCCCGCGAAGATGCGCCAGACCGGCATCTCGCTCATCTCGCCGGAAGCATCGGTCTTTGCGGTTCGGCTTCTGTCAGAGCTTAGGACTCGCCATGTCTTTGAATCCGTCCAAACTCACAAAAAGTGGGGAGGCGATTCCAAAAACATCTGTACAGGATTCTTATTGAATTCTGCAAGCCCCCTGTCTGGAAGAGGCGCGGAAGTCCGATGGGGCCTTGGTGATATCTGCGCATATGTTTGAGTTGGTACCCCATGTTTGTTTAAGGGGAAAATACACACACAAAAAACAAAAGACTTACAGGAAAAACCACATCAGTCTTGTCATGTACTTATGGATAAGGCTTGGAAAAAGGGAGCCCTCAGATCCCCGCTACAAGCGTCAACACTTTTAGTGGGACAAACAATCGGACACCCAACCTCCTTTCACCAACTAAGAAGCTCCAAAGAGGCGAAGGAACCTCCGCGCCTGGGGGTTGACGCAGCCCCGCAGCAGCAGTTCCACGCGGAGCTGTGCCTCGAAGCGGGCGGCCAGGATGAGGCGCCACGTGGCCGGCCGGAAGATGACCACCTGGTGGGTCAGTCGGTTGAAACCCCAAGGTAAGTGGGGCAATAGGGATTCTTTGGTCAATAAATCAGATCGGTGGATTTCCATAAGAATCGGACTCCTTTTTTGGTTGGGAATGGGTTACATCCCAATCAAAGGCAGAGTGTATACGTGTATATATGAACCCCTGGTATGAACCCCTATGGCTCTGCCCAGTGGATTTCCAGGGAAAAGAAGAATCGGCATCCTTTTTTGGTTGCTTGAGTTTGGAACTCACAAAAAACAAAAGGAAAAAAAGGTGCCACTGGGCAACAGGGATAGGGAACTCCCCAAGGTTTGTTGGGTACGCGGAAAAGTCGAATCAGAAACCTTGGGTTCTTGGGGGCCAATAGGCCAGCCCCCAAGGTGGAACTTGTTCGGGAATATGGAAACATGGAACAAAACCTGGCTGGCCCAAAACCTGACCTTTCGGTTCTTCGCCTTGGGGCATCCGTAAGGATCGGTCAGGGAAGGTCACAAGGAAAAGGATCGCAAAGGGAACGCAAGCGGAACCATCACGATTGCCCAAAACCTGGGTGCGGTCCCGTCCTATTGATGGCCCTGAAAAAATGTGAACCAAAAAGGAGTCCACAACGCGAGTGCTTGACACCTGGGGACTCTTGAATACTTCGAAAGGTAGAAAGTGTCTTTTGGGGGTTGAGCATTTTAAGTGAACCAAACCCAAAGGGGCCCGTGCACTTCCATGTTGGTCAGGATGTTGCCTTTTCCAGACCTGATGGACTAAAGCCGCTTCGCACCAGTTGGGATGGCATGACGCCGATTTGAATACTGGGATAAACCACCTACCAGCTGGTGCAACATTTATCCATGGACATCGACTTTTGGTTCTGCCGAAATGTTTAGACATATTTTTCCCACTCCCACGAACATGACACTTGACAGGGAGTCCCAAGATAAAAACTATCTTTCAGGTACCCTCCTGCAGGCGCTGTGGTAGTGGACGGTAAGGCGAAAGAAAGCCTTGTGGATGTGGCTCAAAATTAAAGAGCTAGGGTTTTGTAGGTGTTAGTCTTTGGTTCCATTTGCCAATGCCATTTTCTTAGATGTTTTTGAATCCTACCTCATGGCAAGGGGGCCACAGGAACACAAAGCTCCTCCTTTCGTAGGGTCCACGATGCGTTTTTTTCTTCTTCTTCTTTTTGTCTGTTCCCGCCGGCCTGTTCGGACCAGGGCCAAACATGTTGTTGGGCCTCCAAAAACAGGTTGGCATCGTCTGATGTTGGCAAATTGAAGACCACATCTCAATAGGGCACCCCTTCAAAAGTGGTTTGGTGGACATAAATCCCCACCTAAATGATGTCCACCAAAGGGCCTATGACAAACTGATCACGGCGTAGTGGGTGGAACCGTTACACGCTGGGCTGTTCTGACCCTCTTGGGACTCTTCTCCCTTTGCGGGCCCCTGTCAAAGTATGCGTCGATTCTTTCTGGTGCAAAAAGTCACAACCTCTGTTGGTGGCATTCACACTTGGTTCTGGATATTCGGACCGCACGTGGCCAAGAGAATATCATTGAAAGCCGTAAAGTAATCTGCATTTGTTTACAATATTTCATTCCACGACCTGAAAAAAAGGATTCCCAAATCAAGAATATTTACCATGATGAGCTCGTTGTACCCCCAGGTTAGCTCGCTATAGGATAGGCAGAAGTATTTTCTCATAGGGATGGTCCACTTTGGCATCAGAGAAAGCTCACTGTCATCCATGCTCCATGTTCCCAAAAGTTTACAGAAAGACAGATTGCGCACGAAAGAGCCAAACTTGCGCAGAGGAGAAATACATACACACGTAATACTGAGCGCTCAATGCAAGTGGCAAGCTCTGCGTCATATTGGAGCAAAGCATTATTCAGTCTAACAATGGCAGATACCACCTCTTCTTGTCACGGGAATGCAGCAATGGTCAATATTGTGTGTTACTTGCTTCACCAACCGACTTGACACGTGTTCAACCGTTGAGCAACAACTTTATGACCGCAATATGTCTCGCATTATTGATGTCTCCTCATCACACTCCTCTGCAGTCATCTGCAAACAGCAACTAAAATGAGCGAACCCTCACTTCGTGAGTGGACTGGCCAACGGAAAATACAAACTGCTCTGCCGCTGGACTACTCATCCCAAGACGTAAGTCTGAGAACTCAGATAAAATGCTTGGTCTTCTGTCGTGAAACAAGGGGGCTTCTGCCGTTGCACATGGTCAATGTGTATCAACTCCACAGGTGACAACCCAAGTGGCGATGGGACAGCAGGAATTCGCACTCTTTGTTTCTTATAGTTGATATTAAAGGGGTCACTCCAACAAAACGACCTGCAAGGGACAGCACCCCCATCTCTGGGAAAAGAACATCGGCTGCAAGGCTTCTAGGCCAGGACTCCATTAAGCCAACGCCAGGACTCCAGCGGGTCGGTTCGTGAGTAATCAAAGCCCGGTATTAAAATGGTCTACCACTTGGAAACCATGGGAAACCATTGTTTATTGGTATTTGCAGGGGATTCATCATTTCCGGGGTTTCTTAGGTGGTGCAGGTTTTCGTCCATCCACAGCAAGCAAAACCTGGTACTAAAATGGTCTACCCAGAACATGTAAAGAATTCAGAAGGCGGCCGCAACTATTTATGGTTGGGATTGTCCCTTACTAACCGGATCATCTACCCGGGTTTTGAGCCGGTGGCTCTTGTGGTTGACGATCGATGGGTTTGGAGTTGTTGCATCCCCCTGCAAAAGTGTGTGTCGCGGAGTTTGGCAACTCCAAGTATCCTGTTCAACAATCAAGGGAGACCACAAATCAGCCAGTCAAGGATTTCCCTAAAATAGGCCACTCCCCCCCTTTCAATCAACCAAGCCACATCGAAACCTCCAGATGGGAGTTGAACAAACTGATTGCAGCGCACTTCACTTGGAAGGCTAATGGGTAACCCTCGTCTTCTCAGAAGCAAGTGCAATTCACACTTAACAAGCAAGCTTATCCCATGGATATCTTGCTGGAACCGCACATACCTGTGGACTGGACTACTTCGGATATCTCAATGTTGTTCTGAGGGCCCGATACCAAACAACAACGCAAGCAACCTTTGCCCCTCCAAAATGCAGACCCCGTTTTGCCCGTTTGGAGAACTGAGGCGAAATCGTTTCAAACAGCCAACTCCTAGTAGCCCTGTTAAAACGAGTTCCTCGAGTAGAGAGGTTAGAATAAGGGTACCCATTTTTAAAGCATGGTTGCTTTCCGGCCCACAGAGAACCTGACGAACTTACAAACGCACGAGCCCAGTCTTCGGTGGATTTCCGTGACGGAAACAGCACCTTGGGGTAATTCATGTTGAAAGATATATGATGCAAAACAAAAACAACGGGAACTTAAACAGCCGGCACATTTTCCAAGGTTCCCCCTATATTTATATAATATGCTGGAAAAAACTTCCCAAGAAAAAATGAACAAAGAAGCACCAGGGGTCTCAGAAAGAAAGGGCCTGGCCCAACAACCCTGACGCCATCCCTCGACCGTGCCTCCCCCTCAAGACCCGTCACCTGGCTCGCAACGGCCCCAGAGTGGTCCGCGAAAATCGACCGCCATAGATCGGTAAGTAGACTCATGAATAGGCCAAGTTCATAACTAATAACACATAAACAAATAAGACAAGTAGTTGATCAACAAACAAGACATCAACAAGGCATAAACTTGCTAACCGATCAAGTAGATTTATGTCTTACCGCCTAGTAGTTCATCAACAAACAAGACATAAACTAATAGCACATAGGTAGACTCCATAAACAATATGAATAACCCAAGTGAACAAAAACACACTGCGTTTTGGTGGACTCGCGTTGTGTGTTAGTTCTGAACTGCAACCAAAAGGACAGCAACTATGTTTGAAAGGGTAGCAACGAGCATTCTGGGCACCTGGAGTAAAGTTGGCACTCTAGCAATACTTGCTATGAGCTAGCAGCATGATGCGGTGGATGGATGGATAAAAGCCCGCACCACCTAGATGACACCCTATAAATAATGGGATAAACTAGCAACCAGCGGGAGTAGGATTTTGTCCATCCGAAGTGTGTGTGTGTGTATGTGTGCAGAAATGCAACTCTTCAGTCACTTCAGTCCATTCCCGACCGTCTGGGGGTGCTTTGCTACAACCATGGCCACTTCCCCTTGAATTCATCACGGAAAACAAAACCAAGCCTCACGCCAACAGGGCTCTCTACATTTCCCTTTTCAACATCACCCCGCCAACCCGAAATCACCTCAAATTTGCAACATTGGACTTTCGGGTTTGATTCGGTTGATTCAGGTGAAGGAAAATAAAAACGAAACCAATCATTTTGGGGTCCACCCATTTTAAGGCTTTGACACACATGCCCGCAGGTTGCAACCAACTTGCTGGTTCTCAGCAGGGAATGAGTTGGAACGACCCCTACAAAACATCCTTGATGGTTTTCTAAGCTTGGCTGGAATTAGGACCCCAGCAAAAAACAATGCTTTGCCTCGCGAGTGGAAAACAAAGGGACCCCCCCCCCCCCCGCAAAAAACACAAACAACAACAACAAGGAACCAATTCTGGGGAAGTAAGGAAATCCCGATTTGTTCATTCCCAACACCCAGACTCGGAAAGATATCGCCTCCACATGCGCGGAGGAGAGGTCTAGACCCCCACCGCCGCCTTCCAGCCTAGGGTCGAAAGGCAAGGGGCACTCGGGCAGTCAGGTCGTTAGGCGGCAGGGGACTCTGTTATCGCAGAAGAGGTTGTTGTCCACAACCATGGCCTTTCTGCTAATAATATATACATACATATATATATATATAACACATCCGAACATGTTCTGTTTGGTTGGATTCGGCTGGCTTCATTGGTCGAAAGGTGGATTCAACTGGTTTCAGCCTTGGTTCGATGTTCATAACATCGCCATGTCGTTTGTTCAAAGTCCAGGAGGGGTTCCCCAACGACACAAACCGATTGTTGTCGGAACGACATATAGGGGTGGGGCTTCACCTGTCGTTTCCCTTTTGAACCAGCCCCAAACGGTACCCTCAAAACAGACGCACCCATTGGGCATGAGTTGATGGTGATTCAACAACGAAGCGTCCGTACCACCCAAAATCCAGCGAATCTCAGCTCAATGTCTTGCCGCCACAGAAGAAAAAAAGTGTTCAAACCAAGCGAATCTCAGTTGCACCATACAGCTGCTAGCCAGCTGTTTTCCGTTTTGTGTGTAAAGATGTGTAAAGCAATTGTACGCGGACTTGCGCTCGCGCCCATGCACGGCAGTGCGGTGCAGTGGGCGGTCTGTTCCGGCCTAGACAGGCCTTGCAAGGTCAGCAGCAACCCTTACGGGCCGAGCGGACGTGAATGTTGACAGCCCTTGTCGCATGTCAACGAGGCAAGCGTGGCAGCAGCCGAGGAAAACGCCCTTTTGGGGTGGGTGAACACCAAAAGAAAGAAGGTTAATGCCAGAAGCAAGGCGATCACCAAGTCCAAAAGAGCGGACAAGCGTGCCTACAAAGGTCCTAACATAGTGCATCAGCACCGTGACCGTTGGTCTAGCGAAGGCGTGCAGCGGCACCTGAAGCCCTGCAGAAGTCTGTACAGGGAAGTCAACGCATGACTTGGCCGCAAAAATGGCTAATTCGAGCCAGCTGACCGCAGTGCACTCATCACTCTGGCAGTCAAGAGCTAGGAACCAATCTCCAAAGCTCCTGAGGAAGTCCGGCGGGTACGACCCGAGGCTCTCGACGAGGCTTTGATGCCAGTGCTGTGGCAGCTCGTCCGCCCAGGTGCTGTTTCGTGAAAACCAGTTCTGACCAGGGCGGTTGTGAACCTCATCCGCAGCAGGGTCATCACTGGGATTTGGCTCTAGCGGCTGCACGGTTTGCAAAAAGCTGGTATAAATGGCCTCAAGTGCATCACAAACGTTGCGCCAGTGCCTGAAATACCGGTCCGCTTCGTTCCAAGCGTCGTGGAAAGAGGTGGGCCTGCTTTTGTTAGCAAAAACCGCTGCTTTGTCTGCTGCGCTGTTGCCGACCGCCAGCCATTCTTCAAACGGCGAATCGCATCGCCGAGGGTCAATATGGGCCGGGATCCAGTTGACAAGAACAGTGGAGCTGCGGTTGGTGCGTAGCGCATCCTGAATGCGTTCCCAAATGTCAAAGTTCTCGGTGTGGATGGGGTCGATATCATCAATACCAGAGAAGGTCTCAGATACATATTGCGAGTCCGTCCAAACGCAGATAGGTACATCATGGTGCGCTCCCCACAAAATTGCTGTTAAACAAGCCGTGGCTTCAGCTCGACTGATGGATTGAACAATACCTTGAAGTGGTCCAGCTGCAATTGTCACCCGTTTTCCGGCGTGCGTAACTGCCCAAGCTGCTAAAGATAGCTGTTTGCAAGGATGTTGAAAGCACGATCCGTCGGTGAAAAGCTGTTGTAGACCTGCACTGCAAGGTGTAGCAAAAAAATCAGTAGATAGGTCAGCAAGTTCATGGAGGGCGTTCTTGATGCTAAGCTCAAAGGGGTTCCGAGGCACAAGCAAGTGGTTTCGCACACACTGCGGAAGTGTATCCCACTGGTCGCAAACCCATTGGTGTGGCTGGCGAGCTTCATCGGCGAGAACACAACTGACTATCTGGTGGCGAAAGTCGTTGATGGTACCACATCGAACGCAAAGGCTGCTGGCTGCAAGGTCGAACTTTGCGTGCTGGGCAGAAGTACGAAAAGACCCATCCTGAAGCGCAGCGAGTTGTGCGGCCTGCTGTGGTGTGCGGGATGCCCTCTTGTGATAACTGCACGCTGTATCGATGCCGTGGAGGCCAGCAAACGTGGGCCGGCCCTGTACCTGTTCTGCGACATGCTGATGCCAAGCGTTCTCGAGACGGTGCTCGAGTTCCCCATTGCTGCACGCCAGTAGATCAAAGACCTGGTTGTCATGATCAACTAGGTTGGGAGGCCGAAGGACCTGCCAGCGCAGAGGGGCCAAGACCTGTAGCAGCTTGGAGTACGGGCCTGGGAAAAACTGACCGTCGAATCGCTGCATGAAAAGCTTCCACTCGGCAAGATGCCCAGGCTGCTTGTAACACATGCGTCTGACGTCGCGCAGTACAACCTTGGCCTGGTAGAATTCAGGATCAGCAAGAAGCGGAAGTGATGCGGCAATTCTCAATAGAGGGTTAGCTCCGGCTCGTTGAATACGGAGGGAGCGAACTGCACTTGTTCGCAGCTTGGCCAGGTGGCTAGATGCAAGCAGGCAGGTACTGATGCCATGTAGGGCACGCGGCCAGAGGGCCTGCCATAGGACTGTTGCTCGTAGCAGAAGTGGGCCGGGAGCTCGCTTCAGGGCGGTCCAGGTGTGATCGAGCCCTCGACATCTATCGACAAGGCCAGCGTTACGAAGAACCTTGCCGTAACTCATAGTGCCTCCAAGATCCCGTGCTTCGCGCACAACAGGGAAAGGCAGCTGCTGAAGGCTTTTCCTGTGCGGGGCTGTGACGGCCCAGGCAAAAGACTTGTTGATGTCGATTGGCAAGTGGAAGAGGTCGCAGAATGCTTCGACTGTGCACCAGCTCCGGACAAGGGCACTCGGTTCGACCGCGACAACGGAGAGGTTGTCAACGAAGGAGTAGGCCTCAGCGCCTGGGGCAAACTGCTGGAGGTAGCAATGATAGGAAAGATCTATCAGGAGCATGGCGATGATAGAAAGCGGGCAGCCTTCTGCAAATCCGTTGTTGGAGCGAATGCCCTCCGAGAGGGCTGACCGAACAATGAACCGGCGCTGGTTGTGCCTGAGAAAGGCCTGCCATGGCCCGAGAATGTGGTTGCCAATCCCGAGGTGCTCCGCGAGAAACCAGACTGGTGAGCGTGCCAAATTGTTGAAGCACTTCTGCAGGTCGATGGAGTATCCGCACATACTGCCGCCGGCCTGCGAGGCTAGCTCGATGAGTGCCTGAATGGCATACACTACCTGAGTGGTCTCCCGTCCCGGCAGAAAGCCGTACGCGTGGCATTGGAAGAAAGGCACAAGGTGGGAAAGCACTTCCTTGGCCCTGATGGCGGCCCAAGTGCGATAGAGCAGGCTATAGATGACGATGGGACGGTAGTCGTCGGGGCCCTGAGGGTTGGCGCCTTTGCCAATGCACCTCACAACACCTTCGAGGAGTTGAGCTGGCCAAGAAGTGGCCCCACGCTCAAGGTTATTGAACCAGTTGACGAGTTGATCCTCAAGGTAAGGGTGTAAGTGCAGGAGGTCGCCAATGGAAAAGCCATCGGGGCCCTTGGCCGCATGGGGCCGGTATTTCCGGAGAGCGGCTCTCCAGCGAGTTGTGGTCAGCGGCGTGTAAGGCATCTTTCCGGATGGGATGAATGCCCGGGTGAACGCGGCAATGCGCTGAAGGTCCGAAGCCGGGAGGTCGGCACTTTTGTTCCACCTAGACTGCCAGAGGTGAATGCAGGCATCATGAATGTCACTTGTATCAGTGACAAAATCGGTCTGAGTGAGGGTCTGGCTGGGGTATAGGACAAAATCGCTGTCGACATGTAGGACACAGTCATCATGTGCCGATACATTGGCTGGTTGCCCTTCGAGATCCCAAGTCGAAGAGCTACATATGCTGACCTCCTTGTCGACATGAACCAAGTTGGTGGATGGTTCAACACCCAAAATTGTGTAGTGCTGGCGAACTGTGAGGGTATCAATGGAGGCTGGCTTGTCTTCCCTGATGAAGGCGAAGATTGAGCCCTGATTCTCGCTCAGCCGCACGTCAATGGCCCGAGCACGCTGGCGGAGATGCCAGGCCTCGAAGCGCCTGTAATTGGCGCGGAAATCCTGGTAGATAAGCTCGATGGTGTTCACGTCTGGCACCGCAAGGGTGACAGTCATAGGTGAGCCGTGTAGTTGGACCGATCGGTGGGTCCACCAGGAAGAAAATCCCTTGCTAAAGCCAGGGGCTTCATGGACTGCTTTCCAGGTTTGCAGTCTGTAGACAACCGCAGAGGCCGCAGGAGAGGCCGCCCGAATTGAGTGGCGAAGGCTGAGAATCCTTCGAAGTTGCTTGAACCACTGACGGACAGCAGTTCCAACGAATGAGGAGACTGGCAAGTCCTCCCCTTGTCTGCTAGGACGGAGAGTTGGTGCCGTAGGTGAGGTCATAGTTGGTGCAGCTTTGCGAGCCCTGCCTTTGCTGCGACGCGGCAAGCGTCCATCTTGGAAGCTGTTGCAGTAGCCGTCCAAGGAGTCTTCAAAAGTCTTAGCAAAAGAGCAGAGCCAGCGAGAGGAGTTGGCGTCCTCAGCAAGATGTAAGCTTTGGGCATGCCAAGCAGGGACATCCACATCCTGCCATGGTATGGAGGCCGGGTAGCTCCAGCTAAGGTAGCGCGGAAGGTGATCGGGGATTTGGAGGCCAACATGGAGCGAGGCGTGTTCCTGGAATCTATCCTGGATGACGACCCGTCGCACCAAAGCGGCTGCTTCTGGCGACAAGAAGATGAAATCTCGTTGGGTCACGCCCTTGCATGTGGGCAAGGGCTCTTGGCCCCAGAGGGTGAAAGCCAGTTGCTGCGCTTCCACCCATCCCTGTTGTTGCCAGCATTGTAGCTGGGGTAGTGCCGAGATATCGTGGTTCATATCTCCGGCAATGATCCGGATTCCCTGAGCGCCGAAAACAACTTCCCGGGTGAG